CAATAATAATAATAATAATAAATAGGGTTTACAACAATAAATGAGAATGGATAGACATGATTTATGGAATAAACAGGTTTATGAGCTTTCAGATATGATCATTAAATCTGCAGATGGAGTATTTCTGCTGACTTTTTCAGGTCTATCTACTTGTTGTTAAATGGGTTTCTTTATGCTCGAAACAAATAATTCAAATCAAAACCAGTTAATGGATTAAATGATTGTATTTGTAGGTGAATGAATATAAAACATGATGTCGATGAAACAAAGAAAGGCCGACTGAATGAAATGTAATAAAACTAGTCAAACTGATTCCGGCAACATGTAGACCCTCCAGTCTGCAGTTCGGTTCTGTGGTTTTAATTCAGAGTCCGGGTTTCTTCAGGTTTTTCTAAGAAAAGCAAACGTCACTCCGGGCCTTTCAGAACATTATTGCGGTTTTTATTGTTGTTGTTTAGCTTGTTTGAGCTCGATGCTAGCCGCTACATGCTAACCGCGGTAACGCGTCTTCCAGCCGGTAAAATGTAAAAACACAAGAACCCACATCTACAGCGCAATATCTACTGACTGATCTGACGTCAGAAGAACCTCAGAGGTTCGGTACGTACCAGACAGTTCGGTTCCTCCCTGATGATAAGAACAAGAACAAAACAAAAACAACGTAATAATGATAAGGTTTCACAGAACCTGGAGAGGCACAGATCCAGCGGCGGGATTTATTCAGCAGACTGTTTCCTCCTTCTCTTCTTCTATTTTCAGCTGTCGAAGCACCGAAGCTACATCTCTGCCTCCTGATAAACCATTATAAACTACACTGGTACCATAGACTTTGAAGCGACTGGTACCGATTCTCCTGCACTTTATGGTTTACCTGTCTGACAGGAAGTAGACCAGAATGCACCGCGGTCAGGCTCCGCCTAGCGGTGGGATGACGGAACTGCAGTTAGTTTGACCATTAGATATGCAGTTTAACCAAATAAATTACATACAGTGTACAGAAAAAAAAAAAAAAAAAAAAAAAAAAAGGATTACCTGGAGTGAGATTTGGCATTAATGTATCTTACTGGAGATGACACAATAAGCAATTCATTTAAAAAAATAATAAAAATATAGATAAAAATTAAAAAAGCGCTTTTATTTTATTTATACACATGGTTTTAACACCGAAACATAAAAAAGTATTTTGTCGCCCACAGTTTCAATTTTGAAAAGAAGTCACCATAATTGGTGTAATGATATGCAGGTCATATTTTCCCACTGAAAAGGTTCTTTATAAGACAGTATACATTATATTGTGGAAGTGTCTGATATAAGTTAGACGTTAGCTGTAACATGCTCAGAGGTAGGAAATAAATTACACGTACTCTTCATAAGCTGCTGGACCTGGCGGTGTGTCCTTCATTCTGAGACTTTAAATAAATTTGAAGCCAAGTTCTTGAAGACGTCTGTATATCTGCAAAATGAGGAAAACGCTGTGTAACTTACAATCTGCACAAGTTGACATGTATGCTTTAGATACCCTGCAGACACCTTCCAGCGCCCAGATCTCTGACAGAGGCCCCAAGCTTGATATGAAGTGGATCCGCCTATGTCAGGGTTATTCAACAGGCAGCCCGCGGGCCACATCGGGCTCGCAGGAGACTTTCATCCAACCCCAATCAATTGCAATTTTCAAATGAACTTGCTGGCCCTTCAGATGCTGGTTTGAGTAACTGTGCCTCCTCAATTTAGTTGAATAACCCTGGCTTATGTAGACTAATCCAGTACCTGCTGGTGGGAATTAGACCCTGGTGAAGTTGAGACCGGGATAAAAAGGATCAACCAACAAATTCAGCTGATTAGAATTTTCACCATCGAGAGTTCCAGTAAGACTTTGAAAGCTGCAAGCAAATCTTCTGCATTAGCTTGTTCCAAAACAGTTGTGATTGTTGATTCGGCACCAACCCTACTTGGCCTTGAAGGTTGGGTATATCAAACTCTCCATTGATGCTTTGTCGACTGACGCTCAGCCCACCTCCCGTGCGTGAACTGGAATCATTGCTGAAGGTTGCACAAACAATAACATCACTGTTCATGGATGGGCGGAGCTGTTTGGAGACTGGTTACAAATTTATTTTCAGCTGCTCACACATGCATTCAAACATTTCTGCCTTTGTTCTAAGCTACCAGTGTTATCCACCCCCCATCCTCCACGTTGACTGAAACTTTGCTCTGCAGAGGTTTTTTTTTTTGTAAATACCATAGTGTCACTTTTCATGATATGTTTTGATGTTTTTCCTCATCCATCCTTATGTGGTATTTTGTTTTTCTTTTAAGGGTAGCGCCTCGTCATGTTTTCATGATGATGATCCTTGCCCTGTTCAGGGGTCTATGGCTGTAAGACGTGGGAACCTGTTGTTCTATGTTCTGTCTTGTGAACAGGTGTTCGGAGCTGTAATTTCTCCTTGGGATCAATAAAGTATCATTTATTCATACATAACAGCAAGCTGCAAACAGGTTTGTTTAAGGATGGGCTAAAAAAACTGAGGGACCAATCAGCTGTTTCAGGACCACATTTTAAACAGATTCTGAAAAAACAAGAACACATCCACGTTCACTTTATTCTTCATTACTCTGAACCGTTGCTTTTGTTATCACCTGCTGCAGAATGTTTCTGTTTGTCTTAGCAAAATATATCCTGAAGTAGTGGGTGGGTTTTAATGAAACTCTTACAGTAACCATTGTCTGATCCAATCAAGATGGCTGCCACAAGCAACGGACCTCAGAAAGCACTCAACTGGCTACAATTCAGCTTTTCAAACTAAAGTTTAGCATTGTTTTAGATGAGCATCGCTCACAAATCTAAGTGGTAACTCGTGCAAGATCTTTGCCTGTTAGCAAAAGATTTTACTAAGCAGTGGGCAAATTAAAAACTCTCTCAAAGTAATTGTTTTTTAAAGTTACCATACCCCAGTAGCTTCAGCAAACACTAAAATGAAGAGAAATATCAGCATAATGTTCAGCTCAGATCAGATTTCATTGGTGAGGTTAGTTAAAGACGAACAGAAAACAAAAAGTGGAGGAAAGAAAAGGAATCCGATGAATCAAACAGGAAAAAGCTCTCTTTGTGTTGAAGTGATGAAAGTAAACGTAGCGTCAGTCTTTATTTCAGCAGCTTTGCCGTTGCCATAGAGGTCATGGTGGTCATGGTGATGGTGGGAACAGTAATATCTTTGAATATGGACTGCGTGACGTTGGCGGAGGAGACTTTGTTCTCGCTGAGGGTCCCGATGATCATCTGGCGCATGTCTCTGCTGGCGTCTCCGCGCACCGACAGCAGCGCCTGGATGTGCTCCTCCCTGCAGAGAGAGGACAAAAAACAACTAACAGGAGCCAACAAACAACAAAATACCTTCAATACTTCATTATGAAGAGGTTTTCTGTAATAAAACTGAAAATAATCTGTTATAGATAACTCCATTTGAAGACACAGTTTAATTCTGAAAGGACCTACCTTATAAAATTAACTTCACTATTTAATTGAGATCATTTCTACTCAGAAAGCAGTGCAGCATCCTCCACACTGCTCTGATGAACTCAATGTAAACAGGAAGTAGAGCGGTGTGTTCTCACCTGATGTCAGGATACTTTGAAACCAAAGTGGAGACCTCCAGGAACAACAGGGTGGGATCAGTCAGCTTGAACACTTCAGCGATGGCGGCGATGGCTCCACAAAGTCTGTCCGTTTCTTCGCCCTGAATGGAAGAGTCATTTTATCAAACTGGAACAGCATTCTGTACGAGACAGAAGTCAGGTCCAAGGTTTCAGGTCTCACACCTTTAAAAAGGGATCCATGATTAGTTGTAACATTAGATTTTATTTGATAAACATTTATTTTAACTGTAAAATAAAGACTGTAAAAATAGTGTAGGTTTAAGCAAGCTAAACGGAGGTCCTTCATCCATATTTTCAGTTACAGGCTGAGTCATTTCTTCCTTCTCCTCTCTGGTTTCATTTAAGAGTCGATCATCAGATATTGTCCAAGATTAACCTTCAGGGTGGATATAGCTCGCTAGCAGCCTCGCACCGAGGACCTATCCACGTCATCATTTACCCAGAAAGCTTTGTGTGTAAATAAAATGGCCGCGTCCGTGTAATATATTTTTAAACATTTTGTTTAAACTTTTTAGTTTTAAACTTTTAGTTTAAAAATTATAAAAACTGAACATCCTACAATATTTTTACTG